CTATACTTACATACGAAAAATAAGTAACGTAGTCGATTGTTATAGCAAATATACGTTTGCTTCATCGACAATCCCACTAAAGAATATGATATGGGAAAAGAACTGGCCTTCCTTGAAATTCCATCTGCCTTGTGACCCAAGAGTACTCGTGGAAATGTGGCCAAGTGGTTAACGTTTCAAGCTCACATTCTGCACTGTCACGGTCCGACTCCCGTTGGGGGTGTTGATAAGACCGATGCGAGGTCGAAACTGCAGTCGACCCTGGATGAAAATGCCCTTTGGGAAAGCAAGGCTCTGTGAAATGCAATGGAAACGTCAGCTCTTCTCCTATCATTGTGGGTAAATTTTACTACCAGTCCTTCATCACTTTAAACGAATACATCTCATAGTATTTTTAGTGGTCACGCGAAAACTTATGACACAATTCATACTACTTATATAGGTTGAATGCAATAGATATAGCATATATAATTTCCCGTTCATGACATTCTCTCTGGGAGAATTTCTTTAAATAATCGCTTGGTAATTTTTTCACATTACTCGTAAATTAAAGAATAAAATAACAAAGCAGGGTAAATAAAATGGGATGAACTTTCCTCTATCAAGTTTTTTGTAGTGACACACGAGAGTTTTGTCATAAAATTGTTCTCTGTTGTAGTGTCTTAATGAGATTAAAATGTTGATAAAATTTTGAGTTTTTTTTTAAAAAAGGCTTAATTAAACACAAATCGTTTTTATCTTGTGATACAGTAACTATCAACCTCAAACAAACATATTTGCACTTCATGATTTCAGCTCCAGTTTCGAACTCCCGCTAAGGAACAATGAATTAAATATTTTTAAGAGACAAAAAACATTATTTATATAGAAATATTTTTAGGTGCAAAAAGATATTTCTAGTTCACAGAATATGTGTAAAAACTTACCGACTATTAAATATGTGCCAGTAAGTGAAGATCCAGCAAGTGTGATTGCCATCTTTGAGGCCTCAAAGCTGGCTTGAAGTTCACTAAGAAAGATACCATAAGAGAAGCACATTCCATCGACGAGTATCATGTTAACAAACGAGCCAAGTACAACCAACCAACCCCACCCACCGTCAGGAGGAAGCGGCGGTGCCAACTCATCAATGTCAATTTCGAGCCCCGGTTTAGAGAGTAGAGCGCTGCCACTCTCATCTTCGCAAAAGGCTCCAGGATTTGTAAGCTCAATGGCTGCTGAGGTAGCCTTGGCGGCCTCAAGACCCTCCAATCGACTTGTTATCCAATTGTTTGAGCTAATTTGTTGAATTCCACATTGTTTAGCTGGCTGTTAACAGATA